CCCCCACCCCCCCACCCCCCGCTGCCAATCCTCAACAGAAATGCTCACAACAATGAAAACCTCGGCTGTGCCATTGTAACTTCGAACAGTCACTGAGCGAACTGTTGTAAGTCGAGGACCACCCCCCACCCACCCCGGGCATGCCTTGATGCGCAAGGCTGGCGTCCCTCGCGGCGCTTCTCCATCTCCATCTCCATCTCCATCTCCACCTGCGCGCCTGGCTTGCACGGGTTAACCGGGTGGCGGCCCGCGCGGAAGCACCTCTTCCCCGCCCTCCTTCTCCCGCAGCTTCCCCGCCCACCGGCTCTGCTCGCCGGCTACTTCTTCCTGCCTTCCTCCGGAGCGCTTTGCAAGCTCGCCGGGCTATGGCGTTGACGCGCGCCCAGCGCTGCCTGGTGCAGGTGCTGCGCTGCTTCTCGCGCGCCTTCCTGGCGCTGCTCAGCCTGTTGCTGCGCGTCTCCGCCTTGCTGCGCTGGAAAGCCAAGGGCGCCCGCGGATCGCGCCCTGCGCGCACCGTCCCGCCGCCCGACCAGCCGCTGCTGCTCCTGTCCGCCGGGGAGCTGGCGCGGCGCATCCGCCGCAGGGAGGTAAGGAAAGGGGAAGGAGACCCGTAAAAAGTCGGGGGGCCGGGCGGTCGGTCGGTCGTTTATTTATCATTGCTAACAAGAGTTTTGCAAACGGGAAAAGTCCCATCGAGAGAAACAGAAGGGGGAGAGAGAAAAAGAAGAAGAAAGAAGAAGAAGAAGAAGAAGAAGAAGAAGAAGAAGAAGAAGAAGAAGAAGAAGAAGAAGAAGAGAGAAAAGAAGAAGAAGAAGAAGAAGAAGAAGAAGAAGAAGAAGAAGAAGAAGAAGAAGAAGAAGAAGAAGAAGAAGAAGAAGAAAGTTCAAGGAAAGAGAGACGGGCGCGCGTTTTCCTTTAGGTTTGCTAAGAGTTTTTTTGCAAGCGGGAAAACTCACATCAAAGGGAAAAGGTGTGAAAAGGAAGAAGAAGAAGAAAGGGGAAGGAGAGAAAGAAGACTCGTGCTTTTTTATTCGCCCCTTTCGATCCCTTAGGAAGGTCTTTCAAGAGCCCCACCACTCCTGTTTGATCCCTGGGGCGTGGGGGGGGGTGTAGGTTGGGCTGGGGGAGAATAGCCCGCCCAGCTGATCCTCCATGAATTTCAACCTTGGAGGTCGCACGTTTCCTCCTGCTTCCCTATGCCCTTAGGTCTATGGGGAAAAGGAAAAGAGGGTGTGCTTATTTATTTATATGCTGCCTTTATTGTTTTTATCCGAGCAGTTTATTGCATTCTGGAGGGCACTGTACCATGCTTATTGCAGATGGCTCTCTGGAGTTGGACTCCAAGTCCCATCTCTAGGCTAGCACGTTTAGTGGCGATAAGAGAGGAGATCCAGCAGTGTTATGAGCAATGACTTTTGTCCAGCCGGGATATGCCACCGAGCAGTGATCCCACTTGTGATCAGCCACTTCCAAATGTTCCCCCCCCCCCGAATGTATTCAGGTGCCCGAAAAATGGTTAAAGATGGTGATATGGAAGAGAGCTTCAGTGTTGGTGTTAAACATTGATCTATCTCTGCCTCCCTCTCTGCATTTGGAATCAATGGATGGGGGTCTACCTGGAGCCCAAATCCATAACGATAAACATGACTAGGACGTTTATCTTTCGTTCTTTTAAAAACAGAAACTCTCCCTCTAAATAAAAATCCCTAATCTGGGATTAAGAAGAAAACACACACACCCCCGTTTCTTTAAATTAGAGATTTTTCCAATCCTGAAGAGATGAGAGAGTGACTGAGCAGGTCTCAAAAACTCTTCAGGAAATCCTGCCATAAAATTCAGTTGTTTAAATGGAGGCGTATTTGCCTTGGTCTTTTCTCTCAAGTTTGTATGTTTGTTTGTTTATGAAACGTATATGTTGGCCACCTCACCAGTAGGGCAAATCTGGGCTCCGAGACTCTTTTTCTAAAGTTTGAATTCGTTTTTGAAGGATGGCGTAATGTGTTTAGGGGGTGTGTGTGTCCTATTTTTCATATATTGATCCTCCTGTCTATAATAGCAGTCTCTCCCCTGAAATATGGTCTCCTGTTTTGATCATACTGATTGAAAGTTGGCATGTAATGCTGAGAAGTCCTTGGTGCTCTCTGAGCTTGGTTGTTTTGTTGCAGACGTTTCATTAACAAACTAGATAACATCATCAGGGCTAGTGAGTGTGGAGTTTGCTCTCTGTTTATATTCAGTGCTTTGCACTGAACGCCTTGGTGCTGGATGTGGTTTTTATCCTTGATAGTTCCTTGATTAGGGCATTGTTTTCTGCTTGGTTGTTTATCTGAACAAGCTACTTGACAATTTACTCAATATAAGCAGAGTAAAGCCCACACTCATTAGTACTGATGTTGTTACCTAGTTAGGGTAATGAAATGTCTGCAAGAAAACAACCAAGCTCAGAGAACAACCAGGACTCCTCATTTCAACCCTGAGTTACAAATATTCTCCTTTATCTGTGTCATTATAATATTGAACAAGGCGAACAGTGCACAAAATACTGAATATAAATAGAGATCAAATCCCACACTCACTAGCACTGATGACGTTACCTACTTTGGTAATGAAACGTCTGCAAGAAAACATACTAAAATACAAAAAAAATAAAAAACAGAAAAACAGGAAGGAAAAAAAAAACCAAGTTAAGAAATACATTTATGACTTCTGACCTTCTTTTCAACAGATCGTTCCGACTCTCCCTGCTCCCTCTTATATATTTTAGAGGTCTCTTTGCCCTTTATTTGATTTAATCCTCATCTTTCTTAGTCTTTGAATACATAAAACATCAATTCTTTATTTTCCTTCTTTCAGCAAAAAGTCCATCTGGCATTTCAAAAAAGTTGTTTGTCCTCAGACGCACAGGTCAGTTTCCCCATTTCTGCCAGCTCACCTGAAATTCTCCCTAGATTAGATCAGGAGTGGGCGACTATGGCAACTTTACAACTGTTGGAGCAACTTGCTGGATCAGGTTGTAAAGTTGCCATAGTTGCCTGCCCCTATTCCAGATAACTGTGGTGTTCTAAGGGACACCTACACATCTGGAGAATGACCTAAAAGCAAAGGAGTCAATTCTTTGCCTTGAATCCCAAACCTTTCCCTCTGAAACTATAGTGCTCCTCCAGCATCAAGCTGAAAAAAATCTGATTTTGTGCAACTGACAGAAGAGAAAGGGAGCAGCGGAGTTGCAAACACAAATAACACTGTCCTAGATTATACCTGCTTTTTTTTCATTTCTGCACGGAGAAAACAGGGAATTCGCAGATGCCTTTGTACAAAGGGCTCCTATTCTAAGTCTCCCCCCGCCCCCCCCTGATAAGAATGCCAAGCTCAAAAAGCTTTATCTTCCTTACAAGAAATATCTGAGCTAGGGAGGGGAAGAAAGCACCCTGTGTCCTAAAAATAAGAGAGCACTATTCTAATCCTGCTGAGGTTTGGTTTCTGAAGATTGAGTCTTGGGATCAAGGAATTTGAAACAATCTCTTTTTGTAGTCTGTAAAGAAGGTAACAAGGCATTCATGTCAGGGGCATCTTAAAATTCAGGAGGGATTACAACTTAACAGGAGCTGTGCAAGTTTGTAAGGAAGATTATGGCTTGCAAGAAGTTTTCCTGCTGGCAAAACTCATTACTATAGAGACAGAATTTAATAAATACTAAAGAGGCGACCGAGACGTGGGAATTAAATCTTCTATTCCTCCCTCCCCACCCTCCACACAGACACTTTAAAATAAATATTCTGTCCCTTATAGGTTTTATTTTACCATATGCAATGGTAATCCTTGATTTACAAAAACAACGGAGCCTAACATTTCTGTTGTTAAGGGAGACATTTGTTAAGTGAGTTTTGACTCATTTTATGACCACAGTTGTTAAGTGAATCGCAACTTGGTTGGTAAGTTAGCAACAGGCTTTCCCATTGATTTGGCTTGCCAGAAGGTCGCAAAAGGGGGGGGGGAATCACATGACCTTGGGACATGGCAACGGTCATAAATACGAACCGGTTGCCAAGCGTCTGAATTTTGATCACGTGGCTCTGGGGATGCTTGCAAAGGTCGTAAGTGTGTAAAACCGTCGTCAGTCACTTTGTTTTCTGTGCCGTTGTAACTTGGAATGGTCACTAAATGAACTGTTGTAAGTCGAGGACAGAGGTGTTGACACCTGTCAGGCTTAGCTGACCTTATTCCGCCCTAAATCAAGAGCAAAGGTTTTTGGGCTATCTAATTTACATGCATAGGTTTGTAAATACCGCCCTGAGGTCTTCTGAAATTATTCCGTCAGAATTCCCGAGAGTTTTCCCGGGGGCCCTTCCTGTCACCTCCCAATCCTGTGTATCCAGTTCCGTGTTTTTTTCACCGAACACATTATTATTTCTTTGTTTATGGAACCCTGGAAAACTATAAACAACAATTTGCTAAGACTGGCCCGATCTTCACGGAGACCTGTGCCGTGTTTACAGTACCCAAAATATTGATTCTCACTCATTTCCTTTGAGAGTTTTCTGCTCCCCCCCTCGCCTTTCAAGAGCATTTTACATCCTCTGGGAATGAAATGGGATTGAAAATGGGATAGCCTTTTCTCTTCTTTAAGCATGCTGAAAAGGGCTGAACCCTTGCCCCTGAACCAACATTGCACGGATTTATTTAGCAGTTTTCCCAGTGGCTTCCGATCTCGCCCCAAAGAGCAGGAGAGTGCCATCCCGAATCATAGGCTAGTCAATCTCTCAGCTCTGTCCACCTTACAGGGCTGTTGTTGTGGGGAAAATAGGGAGGAATGTTAGGTAGGTTCTTCCACAGAAAGGGCCCATCATTGAGAAGGCTCCTCTCCTGGTCCCTGTGGGTGGCATTTTCTGAAGGAAAGGACTTCAAGAAACTTCTATTCTATTCTATTCTATTCTATTCTATTCTATTCTATTCTATTCTATTCTATTCTATTCTATTCTATTCCACCCCATCCCACTCCATCCTACTCTACTCTACTCTACTCTACTCTACTCTACTCTACTCTACTCTACTCTACTCTACTCTACTCTACTCTACTCTACTCTATACCCTACCCTACTCTACCTCTATTCCATTCCATTCCATTCCATTCCATTCCATTCCATTCTATTCTATTCTATTCTATTCTATTCTATTCTATTCTATTCTATTCTATTCCATCCCATCCCACTCCATCCTACTCTACTCTACTCTACTCTACTCTACTCTACTCTACTCTACTCTACTCTACTCTACTCTACTCTACCTCTATTCCATTCCATTCCATTCCATTCCATTCCATTCCATTCCATTCCATTCTATTCTATTCTATTCTATTCTATTCTATTCTATTCGAATAGACAATCATGGATAACCAAGCCTTGAGCCATGAAGAACTTTGAAAGGGGCAACTGGACCTTGAATTCTCCCAAGAAGCCAATTAGTAGCCAGCTTAGCTGCCAAAGTAGCAGGGTCATATGAACAAACATCAATCTTCCCATAGCTATGGGAACAGCCTCAAGCTGACCAGCTGAAGCTTCCTTGTAGAACAAATTGCATCAGTCCAAACTGGAGGTGGACTAGGCTCCTGTTGACCATCGATTGGCAGAGCATTATCATATATCTGGCAACCCTTTTTAGGCGTCCTTCAACCAGGTCTACGTCCTTCCTATCTTTGTGTTCCATTTTCTTCCAGGATGTTGAGATGCTAGATGTAGGTTAGGAGAACTAGAAGGTGTCTTCTTTAGAGATTTAAAACGAGCTTCCTGGTGCCAGCGTTAGATGCTTGCTGTAAAACCCAGCCAGGAAATCATGTATGTAATTAAACTTTTTTCTCTCTCATTCCTCCCAGTTGAAGTGTGTCGATCTTCTTGAAGCATACATTGAGAGGATCAAGCAGGTGAACCCACTCATCAATGCTATTGTTAAAGACAGGTAAGCTGGAAAAAACGTTGACTTTCTGCCAAACAGGTTTTGGGCTATTATCTGGGGAGGAACGAGCAGACAGGTATGGCTTGCTGGAGAAAAGCTCCCCCCTGTTTCAAATTCTTGCTGTTTCTTTCTGTATCGGGGTTGGGCCTTGAGAATTCCTCTTCCAAACATCCCATTCTACTGACTTGCTACACAGGCTTAGCAAAAGTAAATTTTTTTGTAATCTTTTCTCCTTCCAAGCCCTTTCTCACCATTGCCCTGACCTTATGCACCCTGAATTCAAGATAAGAGGAGAAGGAAGGGGGGAAGACTCCACGTCCAGTTGAGCAGCTGATTGGGTGTCTCCAAGATAAGAACATCCTATTCAACAATTTTGATCTGAAGCATCTCACAGTCCAACAGCTCTCCTTTTGAATAAGGCTATATTTACTTCCCACCATTTGCTCACTGCCTTGACCTATTTTGTTTGTAGATAGAGTAGGTCAGTGGTGGTGAACCTATGGCACGGGTGCCAGAGGCGGCACTCAGAGCCCTCTCTGTGGGCACACGCGCCGTCGCCCCAGTCCTAGGCCTTCAGCTGGGTTTTATAAAACCTTTTCGCTTTAGGCCTCCGCTGCCGTGTACAAAAAAAAAAGGTTCAGTCAATCAGTCAATTTCAACTTCTCACGGGAAAAAAAAAGATCTTGCAAAGTTGGAATTGATTGATTGAACTTTTTAGTCCCACCCAGTCTGCCATTATCACCGTGGCCACGCCCAGCCAATGGGCCACACCCAGCCAATAGGCCACACCCACCCAGTACCCGACGATGGATAAGTGGGTTTTGGGTTGCAGTTTGGGCACTCGGGTCTCTAAAAGGTTCGCTATCACTGGAGTAGGATTTCCATATCTGGGTTGCAAAATTATACAAATTGATCAGGGGGGGAAGGGAGGGGTATAACTGTTAGCTGCCATCTCGTGGTCATTCAGATTTTTTTTTCCCAACCCAGATTTGGTAGGAAAACAGCTGATTTAAAAAGCCGATTGAACGGCGAGAAAGCCTAAAAAAAAAAGGAACAAAGGATTGCTTTGATGCTCCTTGCTTCAGATTACAACGTCCTCTTCTGTATCTTTTGAATTCTGTTAAAGTGGGAAGTGCTTAAAAGGAGATAGGTGCCTGCTGTCTTCCATGTAATAAAGCCAGAGGTGAAGCTTTGTGAAACAAGGCAGTGTTTGTGAGGTCCTTGGTGATCTTCCTTTTTTTCCTTGCAGAAGTTTCATTACCAAACTGGGTAACATCATCAGTGCTGGAAATCAACCAAGCTCAGAGAGCACCAAAGGCCTCACAGTTCAACCCCGAGCTTCAAAGATTCTCTTCCATCAGGACCCTATCCATTTTTCCCCCCGTTTTTCTTTTCTTTTCCTCATGCATTTTCTGCCACTCGTGAAGGGCTGGTCTTCCTTCTTTAGTTCCTCAGATGCAAAACAGAAGCAACACTTTGGCTCAACCTACTCCAGAGATATCCATATTTCCAGGCTGCTTATAAAATCAAAGGCTAGCTCTTTGGTTTGAAAAACTACAGCCAACTCCTCAGAATACAGAATAACAGAGTTGGAAGGGACCTTGGAGGTCTTCTAGTCCAACCCTTTGCTTAGGCAGGAAGCCCTGTACCATTTCAGACTAAAGGTTGTCCAATCTTTTCTTAAAACGTCCACTTTTGGAGGAAAAACTTCACAACTTCTGGAGGAAAGCTGTTCCACTGATTAATTGTTCTAACTGTCAGGTAATTTCTTCTTAGTTCTAGGTTGCTTCTCTCCTTGATTAGTTTCCATCCATTGCTTCTTGTCCTGCCTTCAGGTGCTTTGGAGAATAGCTTGACCCCCTCTTCTTTGTGGCAGCTTCTGAGATATTGGAATAATAATAATGATAATAATAATGATGATAAAGTTGGGAGGGACCTTGGAGGTCATCTAGTCCAACCCCCTGCTCAGGCAGGAAACCCTATACTATTTCGGACAAATGGCTGTTCAGTCTCTTCTTAAAAACTTCCAGTGTTGGAGCATTCACCGCTTCTGGAGGCAGGTTGTTCCACTGGTTAATTGTTCTCACTGTCAGGAAGTTTCTCCTTAGTTCTAGGTTGCTTCTCTCCTTGATTAATAATAATAATAATAATAATAATAATAATAATAATAATAATAATAATAATAATAATAATAATAATAATAATAATAATAATAATAATAATAATAATAGTTGGAAGGGATCTTGGAGGTCATCTAGTTCAACCCCCTGCTCAGGCAGGAAACCCTATACCATTTCGGACAAATGGCTGTCCAGTCTCTTCTTAAAAACCTCCAGTGTTGGAGCATTCACCGCTTCTGGAGGCAGGTTGTTCCACTGGTTAATTGTTCTAACTGTCAGGAAATTTCTCCTTAGTTCTAGTTTGCTTCTCTCCTTGATGAGTTTCCACCCGTTGCTTCTTGTCCTGCCTTCAGGTGCTTTGAAGAATAGCTTGACTCCCTCTTCTTTGGGGCAGCCCCTAAGATATTGGAACACTGCTATCATGTCCCCCCTTGTCCTTCTCTTCGTTAAACTAGACATACCCAATTCCAGCAACTGTTCCTTATATGTTTTAGCCTCCAGTCCCCTGATCATCTTTGTTGCTCTTCTCTGTACTCTTTCTAGAGTCTCAACATCTTTTTTACATCATGGTGACCAAAACTGGATGCAGTATTCCAAGTGTGGCCTTACCAAGGCCTTGTAAAGTGGTATTAATACTTCACGTGATCTTGATTCTATCCCTCTGTTAATGCAGCCTAGCACTGTGTTGGCTTTTTTGGCAGCTGCAGCACACGGCTGGCTCATATTTAAATGATTGTCCACTAGGACTCCGAGACTGCTATCATGTCCCCCCTGGTCCTTCTCTTCATCAAACTAGACATACCCAATTCCAGCAACCGTTCCTTGTATGCTTTAGCCTCCAGTCCCCTAAAACATCAGCTAGAGATCTCCCTTTTTTTTTTAACCTCCATGCTCTTTCCTTACCCATCTGCTAAGGTTTGAGGCTGCCTTGCAGGAGGCACAGTTGGTTGACCAGCTGCTCTCTGAGGGACATGAAGATGAAGAATCACTCCGGAAAAATTTCCCCTTGCTGGGCATTCCTGTCAGTGTCAAAGAAGCCTTTGCATTATATGGTGAGTAGCTGGATCTGGGGTTTTTTTTTTTCCCCATGGCTTTTTGACTTCCGTCTTCAGCCTAAGGTGTGGTAGAATGTAGTCCAGAGTTGTAGGAGGGAGGGGGGAAGGGGGGTCTTTTCCAGGGAGCAAAGAGACAACAGAGTTTGGAATTTTTGATATGCAGAAAAAGGGCGATGCCCCTCCCGAGCAGTTCAGTTTTGCGGTTAAGTGCTCTAGTCTGCAAGATTTTTCTCTATACTACAGGCAAGCAACAATTAAAAAAAAAAACCTACTCAGAAGTGTATTAAAAAGAAAACAACAACACATATACACCTATTATCCCCCCATAGTTGAGTACTGACTACACTTTTTTTTTCTTTTTAATGCACCTTTTTGAATGTCTTGTTTCTTTTGAGTTTTTGTTTAAATTTTATGGAGTTTCGTACTTTAACTTTACTTTAAATAAAATGGGGGGAAAATAGATGAAACAAAAGAAAAAAAAAGAAACAACTCAGAAGTTGTGTCATTCTTGGTTCCTTAGGCCCACAGGGTGTGGGGAGCCATGGGGAGGTGGTCCAAACATAAAGATGGTGGCTTCCTATGTCTACATGCTTTGGGTTCATGAGGCACAAAGAAAAGATGCAAGGCTTCTTGTGTAGAGCCTTGTTCAGCATCTGAATTCTTTGGATCGTCTCCTGCACTTGTCCCTGTCCATCCTCTCTTTCTTCACTGGTGCTTTTTCTTTGAACATTAGCAAGTCCTTCTAACATTAGCATTCTATTCTATTCTATTCTATTCTATTCTATTCTATTCTATTCTATTCTATTCTATTCTATTCTTCATCTACTCTATTCTATTCTATTCTGTTCTGTTCTTTTCTGTTCTGTTCTTTTCTATTCTATTCTTCATCTATTCTATTCTATTCTATTCTATTCTACTCTACTCTACTCTACTCTACTCTACTCTACTCTACTCTACTCTACTCTACTCTATTCTATTCTATTCTATTCTTCATCTATTCTATTCTTCATCTACTCTACTCTGCTCTGCTCTGCTCTACTCTACTCTACTCTACTCTACTCTACTCTACTCTACTCTACTCTACTCTACTCTACTCTATTCTACTCTACTCTATTCTATTCTGTTCTATTCTATTCTATTCTATTCTATTCTATTCTATTCTATTCTATTCTATTCTATTCTATTCTTCATCTACTCTACTCTACTCTACTCTACTCTACTCTACTCTACTCTACTCTATTCTATTCTATTCTATTCTATTCTATTCTATTTATTTCCAAAAAGCCTAAGAGATGATCAGCACAATTTAAAGACTTGCCTGTCTGTCTTGCTAACATTTGGGATGCTCACTTCTGCTAATGCTGAGAACAACATAGACTGAAAATGAAAAGAACCCCAGGGGATTAGGAACAAGGATGAACAAAAATTCAACTGCAATAGCATTGACCAACCGGCACCAAAATCTTTTTTTAAAATTATTCGATAACTTTCTTGAAAATAAATAAATAAATAATTTTCTGGTTGGCTGGCTTGATTTAGCAGCAGAAGAGATGAAAGACGGTTTCCCACAGTAATTCCTAGAGGAGATCAGAAACGGTTTCCTAATACGATAATGCCCGTAAAAGAGACAGAAAGATTTCGCTTCATAACGAATGGCTAAACAGCTTGCAATTAAGAGTAAAGCTGTGTTGCTCTTTGGAGAACCCTCTGTTTTTAGTTTTGTTTTTTTCTAGTTTTCCTTATCTGTGGGTTCTTGAAAGTCTTTGTTTCTGTACCTCGGTAGGGATGCCCAATTCCTCTGGATTGGTTAACCGCCGCAACGTGATCTCCACTACGGATGCTATCGTGGTGTCCCGGTTGAAGCAAGCAGGCGCGATTCCTCTGGGGGTGACCAACTGCAGCGAGCTGTGTATGTGGTTTGAGTCGAGCAACGTTGTCTACGGCCGATCTAACAACCCCTATAACCTGGACTGCATTGTGGGAGGCAGCTCAGGTTAGTGGATCGTGGATAAGTCCATTCTGGCTACACTGGAACTGGATGGAACTGGAACTCTTAACCACCAAGTTAAAGAGAAAAGTCTGAGCAGAAATAATGACTGTGTTTGAAGTTGCCAGAAAACCCAGGGCTGCTTCTTGAGCTGATTTGGAGAGAGTCCTGGTTCACACAGCATGCTAAACTTATAATCAGATTTGTTTGGTTTTGGCGGTGTGGGTTGTGTAAACTCACCACTGGGGTTTATTTGGTAAGCTGCATTGCTAAAACAAGTAATGGCTGAATGTAATGCAGGAACCCACCCAGTAAAGGGGCTTATGTTAGTGAACTGGCACCCATCTAAATCAGTGTTCCTTTAACTTTGCGGCCTTTTTAAGAAGTTGGCTTTCAATTTCTAGGATTCCCCAGCCAGCCATGGATTCTGAGAAATGAAATCCGCGCATCTTAAAAGTTGCCAAGTTTGAGAAACATTGACCCAAATGATTGTTTAAGGAATGAACAATAAGTACATTTATTAGAATCCAGAAACCCCATATAGACTTTCTGCTGATGAGTTTGATGACGATAAAGAGTAAACCGTGGAAAAGTAGAAAACTATGTGGTAACTTTACGGAGAGAACAACACACAAATATACTTGTTATAATCTTCCCTTCCCTCTCCTCTCCTTTCCTCCCCTCCTTTTTCACTTATTATTGACTATACTGCCCCTTTTATATATATATATATATATATATATATATATATATATATATATATATATATATATATATATATGTATTGTGCTTATTCTTTTAAAAAATTATTTTATAAAAATTATATATGCGTGTGGTGTGTGTGTGTATATAAAACAGAAACCCTGACCTAAATAACTTTTATAAGCCAGGTGCACGTAAAACCTGCATAACTCAGCTGTGGCCCTGGTTGTGCATATTTTTGCAGATGAATCAAACAAATTAACATAAGCTTTGAAGTTGTTGTCACTGCCAGAGTAGCATAACTGCTTTTTCCAGAACAGAGTTTCCACAGGCTTGCACGATAGTCTGTTTGGTCTTTATTACGGTGCCAATCTGCCCTTTCTTTCCACGCAGGAGGTGAAGGTTGCATCGTAGCTGCTGCTGGCTCTGTGATTGGGGTCGGCTCCGACGTCGGGGGCAGCATCCGTATGCCCGCCTTCTTCAATGGGATCTTTGGACACAAGCCCAGCACAGGTGTGGCCTGGTTATTCCTCCCTAAAAACAGTCCTAACTACAAGTTTGTTATTAGCAGTAGCAGGTCTATAGATTTATAGATTTATAGACCACTTCATAGTGCTTTACAGCATTCTCCGAGCGGTTTACAAATGTTGGCATCTTGCTCCCCCAACAACCTGGCTCCTCATTTTACCCACCTCAGAAGGATGGAAGGCTGAGTCAATCTTGAGCCGGTCAGGATCAAACTCCAAACTGTGGGCAGAGTTAGCAACAGCAATTGCAATAGCACTTAGACTTATATACCGCCCCATAGTGCTTTCTTGCTTTCTGTGGGCAGTTTGCAGAGTCAGCGTATGGCCCCCAACAATCTGGGTCCTCATTTTATCAACTTCGTAAGGATGGAAGGCTGAGTCAAGCTTGAGCCCCGTCAGGATCAAACTGCTGGTTGTGGGCAGAGTTTGCTTGCAATACGACATTCTAACCGCTGTGCTACTATGGCTCTTATATAGCAATAGCACTTAGACTTACATACCGCTTCACAGTGCCTTACATCCCTCTCTAAGCGGTTTATAGAGTCAGCCTCTTGCCCCCAACAATCTGAGTTCTCATTTTACCCACCTCGGAGGGATGGAAGGCTGAGTCAACCTTGAGCTGGTCTGGATCGAACTCCTGGCTGTCGGTAGAGTTAGCCTGTAATACTGCATTCGAATCACTGCGCCACCATGTCTCAATGTTATTCAGTCATGTCCAACTCTTTGAGACCCCATGGAGCATAGCACACCAAGTCCCCCTGTCCTCCATTGTCTCCCCAAATTCATGTTCATTGCGTATGACCCTATCTAACCATCTCATGCTTTGCCGTCCCCTCCTCCTTTTGTCTTCCCTCTTTCCCAACATCAGAGTCTTCTCCAAGGAGTTCTCTGGTGGCCAAAGTATTTGAGCTTCAGCTTCAGTGTCTGCCCTTCCAAAGAACACTCAGGGTTGACTTCCTTCCTAACTACAAGAGACAGCCACAAGTTTTTATCATTTTTAAAAATGTGATGATAACGCACCCGTGCTCATGAAAAAGTATCAGGGATTGTATAATGAAGAAACGACCCATACATTACAGGGATTAAAATAAATTAAAGAAGGGAGAGAAAAAGCAACTAAGCAAAAACCAAAAATGAATGCCAGACTAGAATAAAGTGGCTTGTCAGGCAGGGCTGAACTCTGCTTTCTGTGGGTTTATGCAGGCGTGGTGCCCAATGACGGCCAGTTTCCTGATGCGGTTGGTCATCGTACAAACTTCCTCTGCACTGGACCTATGTGTCGTTATGCCGAAGACTTAGATCTCATGTTGAGAGTCATGGCTGGACCAAGTATTTCCAAGTAAGTGGCTTTTGTTGATTTGTAACCCAGGTCGTTCTCCACTTAACAACCATTCATTTGGCAACCATTTGAAGTTACGACAAGTGACCTACCACCATCACAGCATCCCCACGGTCACCTGATCAAAAGCCAGGTGTTTGGTTACAGGCATGTAGTTATGATGGTTGCAGTGTCCCGATGTGGTGACCCAGGGCCCCGAACGGAGGCAAAGCACTTAGCTGGTCAGAATAATTGTCTTTGTAAGCACTGCCAACGTTCACCCAACAGCCCCCACATATGCTGGCACAAGTTCAATAAAACAGTCAATGGAGTTAAACAGTTCTTTAAAGTAAAACAGATAACAAACAAAGGATGATCTTTTCAACGCCCAGCTTGCCTGTAACCTGCAAACTGCAAAACTGAGGACAGCAAGGATAACTCAGCAGGAGACAAACTTGATCCAAAATACAAAGAGTCCAGGTACAAGAGCTCACATCACAAGAGTTCACGTTTGTTCCCGGCAAATGCCCCACCCCACAGCATCTCCTTAAATACCTTCTCCCCAGGTGTGCCTTGTGGAGTGGGGCGGGACGGTCTCCTCCCAAGCAAGTGAGCCTGCCTCCGTTGTTCCCTCCTCCTCTCTGCTTTCCTTGCTCTGGGATCTGGTGGGGAGGGGCCTTGCTCCTCGCCTGAGCTCTGCCTTCCCTGTTCCAAACCTGAAGGGCCCTGGCCTGCTTCAGCCTGCTCCTCCCCTCAGTCCTCCGAAGCCACAGACACCCCCTCCTGGGCCTCAACAGGGAACTCCATGTCGTCCTCAGAGTCAGGCTCCGACGGAGGCATGACACCCTGGGACATGTGATGCTCCCTGCCGGTTTCCCACAAGCAATGTCAGTGGGGAAGCCAGATGGAAGTCAAAAGTCATTCCCACCTCCACTGCCTCTTTGGCCTAGTCATTTATCTGTTTAGGTTATTAAGTATTGACTTATTTTTAAAGTTCATTTTGCCACTACAATTTTCTACTTAGATGATCATGGCACTGTCTGTGCATATGGTCAGCCTAAAATGTAATGCTAATTGTGGTCACCTCAGATTGTACTACATTTTTCTCAAAGGTTGACCCAACAGGTCTCAGGGCATCTAGTAGGCTGTATTCAAAGAGCTGGACTAAACCAAAGCTAGTGTACACATGTCAGTTGGATGATCTTCTAAGGCAGGGGTCTTCAAACTTGGCCCTTTTATGACTTGTGGACTTCAACTCCCAGAATTCCTCAGCCAGGCATGCTGGCTGAGGAATTCTGGGAGTTGAAGTCCACAAGTCATAAAAGGGCCAAGTTTGAAGACCCCTGTTCTAAGGTATGATCGGTCCCATTGTTCTTCATAGCTGCCTTTTCCATCTTATTCCTTCCTTTTCAGACTGAAGCTGGATGACCCGGTATCTTTGCAAAATTTAAAGTTCTATTCCATGGAACACGATGGAGGGTCCATTTTCCTCTTGCCGGTAGATAAAGAAATTCTTCAAGCTCATCGGAAAGTAAGAAATTGTTGTTTTTGGTTGCTTCGAAGCTTGAGTGCTGTTCCAGAAATCAGAAAGCAGATTCAGTAAATGGCAGTGTTGTTAGCTGGGATGAATTTCATTGGTTAGTTCTCTCCTGTAGCTGGGTACATCTGGACCCTGTCTTGCTGAGAATCATAAAGAGGCCTATAGCCAGTGGTGGGATTCAAACACCTTAACATCCGGTTCTCTGTGTGGATGCAGGCCTGGGCCTCCGAGGCCTAGAACAGACTTCCGGAAGTCACATCAACGCACTTCCGGTAGGCCGTTATAGGCCCGGGGGGCCCTCCTCCAGGCCTCCAAGGCCTAGAACAGACTTCCAGAAGCAACATGGGTTTAGCCAATTCTCCGAACTCAACAAAATTTAGCTACCGGTTCTACTGAACTGGTGCGAACCGGCTGAATCCCACCACTGCCTATAGCTCAACATATTGAATCGCCAGTTTTGTGCACAGAAGGTCCTGGGTTCAGATCTAGGCATCTCCCACATATGGAGTAGAAAGATAACTGAGTTGACACTTGGAAGGTCACTGTACAGGAAGTCCTTGACTTACGACCGTAATGGACTCAGAATTCCTGTTGTAAGCCACGATGGTTATAAATCAAGATCCCCAAGTCAACGGTCCCAATTCTACAATTTTTTTTTGCAGCAGTTGTTAAGTGTATACCATGGTTCTTAAGCCGATCGATGTAGTCCTATAGATGATTTTTTTTTTGCTGAAAAACTCTTTTTTCTTTCAGATTGTTGAGTAGCCCTTTAATCAGCAGAGTTCTGACTTCCATCTGGCTTCCCCACTGACATTGCTTGTGGGAAGCCGGCAGGGAGCATGCCATGTCCCTTTCTGCTGTAAAAGGTTGAGACAGAAGCTGACGGCTCTTTTACTCCTTCTCTTTGCCATCCTGAAGGTGGTGTCGCACCTAGAGACAGACCTGGGGGTTGAGGTGGAGAGTGTGGCTATCCGGAAAATGAAATACTCCTTACAGATCTGGTCAGTTATGATGTCTTTCAAGAGCAGTAATAAGCAGGTATGTCAAATGCAAATCTTCCCTTTTTTTCCAAGGATTGGAAATCTACTGGAGACAGCCTAAAAAGCATTTTTGGCAAGGAGTATGTAGGCTCCAACAAAGCTGTTATTTCTACATAGCAGCTCACTCCTACTAGCTTGTAAACTGTTGTGTATGATCACGGCAGCAGCTTCCACATAATCTTCTGAGTAGATTTTGTAACCTTTCTGAGGCTTACGGGAATGTCTTGCAAAAGAACTTGGCCTGCAGTCCTCTCTAGGCCTTTGTTAGTTACAAATGAAGGCAAATATACATGTCCCAAGATAACATTGCAGGATCCAATCTGGGTTGGCTCGACCTGCTCAGCCAACAATCTTAATAGCTGCCAAATTGAGTGCATGTCCTTGTTCATCGCAGTGTGAAGCTACCAATGAGTCTGGGTTTCCTCGTTTGACCGCTCACTTGTGTTCTTCCAATGGCCACCAATCGAAGAGTGCCAGACGGAATGTATCATTAATGTCAGGTCCGTCCTAACACATCTAACGGGGACACTGACACATCCTCCCTCGATTGGGTAGTCTAACGTTCTAGTGTTCTAACAACCGACTCATCCATGTTTTTATCGGTCCCTTTACTAGTTTCTCAGTAATAGTCAGTTAGTCTCACGACTAAATAGGCCAGCTTATCAGGTAATTAAGAGCCAAGGGCTTGGCAGCAATAATAAACAACCACTTACTTGCCAGCCATCAACTTCCCAATCAACCAATAAGGAGCCACATCCAACTAGGCAACACATAAATACCACACCTAGAAGAGCCCAAACTATACATTCCAGTACAGAGAAGTTCCCTGAGGAGGGACACCAGCACGAATCCGAAAACTCAGAAGACAATCACCTAAATATGAGCCAGCAGTGTGCTGCAGCTGCCAAAAAAGCCAACACAGTGCTAGGCTGCATTAACAGAGGGATAGAATCAAGATCACGTGAAGTGTTAATACCACTTTACAATGCTTTGGTAAGGCCACACTTGGAATACTGCATCCAGTTTTGGTCACCACGATGTAAAAAAGATGTTGAGACTCTAGAAAGAGTGCATAGAAGAGCAACAAAGATGATTAGGGGACTGGAGGCTAAAACATATAAGGAACGGTTGCTGGAATTGGGTATGTCTAGTTTAATGAAGAGAAGGACGAGGGGGGACATGATAGCAGTGTTCCAATATCTCAGGGGCTGCCCCAAAGAAGAGGGAGTCAAGCTATTCTCCAAAGCACCTGAAGGCAGGACAAGAAGCAACAGATGGAAACTAATCAAGGAGAGAAGCAACCTGGAACTAAGGAGAAACTTCCTGACAGTTAGAACAATTAACCAGTGGAACAACCTGCCTCCAGAAGTGGTGAATGTTCCAACACTGGAAGTTTTTAAGAAGAGATTGGACAGCCATTTGTCCGAAATGGTATAGGGTTTCCTGCCTGAGCAGGGGGTTGGACCAGAGGACCTCCAAGGTCCCTTCCAACTTTACTACTACTACTACTACTACTACTACTACTACTACTACTACTACTACTTCTTCTTCTTATTCTTATTATTATTATTATTATTATTATTATTATTATTATTATTATTATTATTAAATAATAATAATAATAATAATAATAATAATAATAATAATCTGATTTGGAGACCAGGACCACGGGTTGGGTCTAACCTAGGACGTTGAACAATCAATTGTACAGGAGACTTTTGAGTCTATGTCGACGTTGGAAGCTATTTTCAACGATGATTCTTACTTCTCTACCCGGTTTTCTTCCTTTGCAGGACCTCAAAAGAGACTCTCTGTTTCTTTGTCCATGTTGTCTTTTAGGAAAATCAAACCTTCACTGATCTGCTTGGAGACCACGGAAAACCAGTCTGGCCATCATGGGAACTGGTAAAATGGATGATGAGACGGTCTTCTCACACTCTTCCAGCCATTGGTGAGAACTCAAGACCTGGGACAGTTCTTTATAGTTGACTTTGCTGCTTCTATTTTTTTAAATCTAAGGATTTGCCCTAGGCAGGAGATTGGTTGGACCAAAAGACTTCCAAGATCCCTTCTAACCCTAGAATTCTATGATTCTACGTCATGTGACTCTACTCAGTTGTCTAGTGCAAGGCTTTCCAGCCTTGACAAGTTGAAGACTTGTGAACTTCAACTCCCAGAATTCCTCAGCCAACGTGGGGATTGAAGTCCACAAGTCTTAAAGTTGCCATGGTTGGAGACTCCTGGTCTAGTGGAATTCCTAGGGGGAACTGCACACCCCCAAAATCAAGACGGCCACATATCTAGCACCCACAGCGATTGCATAGCACAGTCTATTTAAAAATGTGGAACAAACCGTTTTTGTTGTGAATTGATCTGTCTCAACATGTTTTCTCCCCCAGCGCTAGGACTAACAGAGAAGTTGACGAAATACAACTCCAAGGGAAATGCTAAGCTAGCAAGCATGGCACAGAGCTTGCAAGCAGAGATGGTGGAATTATTAGGAGAGAACGGCGTCTTCTTGTACCCTTCACACCCTGTACTAGCTCCCAAGCATCATGTGCCTCTTGGCTCGCCTTTCAATTTTGCCTACACCGGTAAGAAGCTCCCGTTGTTTGAATTGCTGTGATCAATGTAACACAGTTTGTGGATGCTGCATTGATAGATTAGAAGGGGACAATTCCCTCCTCTGAAGACATTGAAATCTAACCTGTTACCATTGGGAAATTGGGTGGAAATGGTTGACAGAAGCAAGGAACATTGCTTGAGGAGGCATTTTGATGTAGTTATACCTGAATGTCTGTTGCTTTCTCGTTTCAATGTTTTGAACAATTTGTAAACTGCCCAGGGTTGCTAGGAGTTGGGCAGCATTGATATAATGATATAATTATCATTTTATGGTTAATCTCACCATCATCCAGATGTTTAGCTTGGATTTGGCATTTTTACCCACCTATCAAGTCCTTCCCAAGGGCTTGGGATAGGCACATGTGGAAGTGTTAAAGGTCTTGTTGCATTATTATTATTATTTATATCAGGACAGAATTCAACCCTCTTGCAACGTTGCCCTCTTAGAAGCGATGTAGATTTCCTCTGATCTCTAGCAGTCGTGGGGTTTTTCATGCTGGATGCTGGTTCATGCAGCATTCTTTGCATTCTTACTTTAGATAAGTCCAACGATGAAGGTTGGAATCTTCCAACTAACTGTATCACAACATCATGTCTAAACAATGATAATATGCTTTCCTCCCCTTTAAGGCCCGCTCTGATCTCATAATCCTGGAGAATCCCTTTGGAAGCTGCCATTGCCCTGAATGATTTCTCTCCAGTTGCTTTATTCTGTGCTCCAAATCGTTGACCTCTGTTGTCTTTTCCCTTTCAGCCATCTTCAACATTCTGGGCTTACCAGTGACACAGTGTCCTCTTGGCTTGAGCAAGGATGGACTCCCTTTAGGCATCCAGGTGGTGGCAGGACCCCATAATGACCACTTGACCTTGGCCGTGGCACAATACTTGGAGAAGGCGTTTGGTGGCTGGGTTCCTCCCGGCCAGTCCTAACACGAGTTTCCTGAGACCTGGAGACAAAAGAAGAAGAACAGTACCCCATCTGTGAAATCTAGGGCTAGGTGTCTGGGGCTGTGAAACCTAGGGCTAGGTTTCCTTCCCTAAGCAACCCAAGGGAATAGACATGGGGTCATGAGCTTGTTCACCAGGCTAGATCATTCCTCCCACACCAGCAAAGCCAAAGTGGTGAAGGAGTCAACTGGCTCTTCTCTTTGACTTCCTTGCTAGATTTGGGGGACGATGCTGTCTCAGGGAAAGCAAGGCCGAGAGCAAATGACGGGATTGCGAGATGCCCTTTTTGCCCTTTGTTCTGTCTTGTTTTAGACAACAGCAGTGGTAGAGTAGGATTGGTGCCCTCTGATGCTCTTAACTTTTTTTTTTTTTTCCTGCTTAGAAATAATTTTAGACCAAGAGAGATCTTTATGGAACTGCATTCCTCTGATAGAAAGAACACGAGAAATCAAGGTTCCCAAGTCCCTCTCAATTTGCACAGAGAAGGAGCCCTGGGACCTTGGCTTTGCTTCACCTTTCCGTGGACGTCTACTCAAGTGAGGGTTGATGTTGACGATATTGATGGGAGAAGCACAGGCCAGGTACCAAGCCCAGTGAAACACACATATTGATAGGCTCAAGAAAACTTCTGGTAGAGTCTGATGGGTCTCAGTGCTTCTGCCTAGCCTCCTCCTTCTTTTGTAGCAATCAGATGAGGGTCTTTAGAATCAGGAGCTCAAGTCATGCTTGATGTTGGCCAAAGGACTATTATCCTGTTGATGGTTGATCCTTACTGCGTTGCCCGCACCACTTTCTGGATTGGAGGGCCTGCAATGGAAAGCTGTATCCCCTCACTTGGTTTTCGTGGGCCCCGTAGAATGAAATATGTATTGCTGTCCTGACAAATCAATATAATGTAAAGTATTATCTGGCACTGGGGATCTCTAGTCTTGTTGATTTTTATTCACTCCGAACCATTGCCATCTTTGAACACCATCTATTGCTGTTATGCCTGTCATGAATCAAGTGGCTGAAATGTGCTCATGGCTGAATATGTTGGCGCCTGTTCTCAACACTAGGCCTGTGTCAGTGTGTCAAAATGCGTTTCCAAGATCTTGTCAACCAGAGGAAGTGCTGTCCGAAGAGACCTTTGAGCACTTTAAACCGGAAGTCAACCTTGACTGGGGATTTGGGTCACTTTGCCAGTAACTCTAACTCTTAACTCTGACAAGTCTGAAGACCACTTGTTAAGCTCTAGTTAAGGTGATTTATTGCTCATGCCTATACAAAGAATCTAGTCAATTAGCAGTCAGCACTAAATTGGTCAATGGAATTCAAGAGAATCTGGACCGCTTGTGGGAACATAACAACTCCAGGCTGATTCCTCTCTTGACTTCACCCACAAGCTCTGCCTGTCCTTCTACACCCCCTACGCTACATCCTCTGCTGATTTTTATTGCTTTTATTGTTCTAGGCAGTTGAGCATAATTCAGTTGAAACTGTAAGGTAGAGCCAACCGTCTTTAATTTTTAAGACTTCTTAAGAGGGCCATGATTATAAATAACGAGTCTGATGTTCCAAAGCATGTTGGTTTGCCTTTTTGAAATGTTTTTAGATTGGTGGAGCAGAGAGCCTAACTGATACCAAAGATTGTATCAGGATGCCTACCCAACTTTTCATGCACCTTGCAATTGTTGAGAACAATTCTGCCGGGCATGGCATTATTATTACATTCATATATTATGGGAGGAAGATGAAAAATATAATGGCTTGCTTGCATTTACAGAGTGGCTGTAGCCAAATGAACTTGCTTGGAACTTATAACTCAAGTTTTCACCTTGTTTCCTTTTATTTATTAAGAATTGCGGTGGTGCAGTGGTTAGAATGCAGTATTGCAGGCTAACTCACTGCTCACTGCCAGGAGTTCGATCCTGATGGGCTCAAAGTTGACTCATCCTTCTACTTTTGAGGCTGGTAAAATGAGGACCCAGATTGTTGGGGGAAATTGCTGACTCTGTAAACCGCTTGCAGAGGGCTGTAAAGCATTATGAAGTGGTATATAAGTCTACTATTGCTATTGCTATTTTGGGTATGTTTTGTTTTCATGGAGAAGCTAAGACTTTTACGTTGCCATGGAGCGTTGTCAATCATGGAGAAACTAAGACTTTTACGTTGTCATGGAGCATTGTCAATCTTCTCATTTTTAAATATGAATACACTTTAATGAAGCTGAATATCCAACCCCGTGCAATATTGCTCAGCCCTTGGAGTCCTGCTGCACACACCTTCCACGTTTAAGGTAATCTGGAGAAGATGCCTTCCTTCGTTAATGCCGCGGGTAATTACAGATTGTAGTATTACATCTCACAGTCACTTCACACAAAATGTTGAACACAACCAGTGCAACTGTCCAGAGGGAGGCAAAAAGGAGCGTGTGCAAAGTTCTCTTCATTTGAATTATTGATTGGTTTAACAAGACTTAAGGCCTGCCTTAATCCTGGTACAGTCGGGGTGGAGAACAAGAAGCACAGACAGACATTCAGTTAGCAGTCAAAAGCAATAACAAAGAACAGTAGCCGAAATGTCTGTGACAGCCACTCTTTCTAGAGCCCGCAATGTGCAAAGGGAACCGCCTGGAGGGACAGGAGGAAAAACTACCAAAACAACAGATTAAAAAATCCCCCTATCCTGGTGCAGAACTGTACACTCGGACAAGACATTCTCTGGGAGGGAGTCAGTGTATTTAGACTTGCAAGTTTCTGTTACTGTACCTTTATAATAATATGGGTCTACCTGCCTGATTTTCTAGTCGGGTCTACCGTGAAGCCTGTCAAAAGTGAATTGGACAGGCTAAAGCTGACTTTACTTGCTTGCAAAATGCAAGAAGGTTGGGGGCCAAACACATGTGCAAAAGGTCCAAGATTGTGGTAAGTATGTGAAGGTCAGTCCATTCTCCTTCTCGGACACTGCAAAGCCGAAGATAGCATCCTGCCATCTTTACGCTTGTTCCATGGGCTTTCTACCCTATCCGAATAATGACTTACAGATCAGTAGAAGACACTTTCTGAGAAATAAACAAAGCACTGGAGCAGCCACACCTCTGACCTAAAGGAAGGGACCGTGCTGGTTTCAAGCTTAATAGATGCTCTTGGAGGGAGGGGAGGGGCAGAGCAAATTCTGCTGTGTGCTTTCTTTTGCCCTTTGTTGTTGTTAGTTGCGAAGTTGTGTCCAACCCATCGCGACCCCATGGACGACGTTCCTCCAGGCCTTCCTGTCCTCTACCATCTTCTGGAGTCCATTTAAGCTCACGCCTATTGCTTCAGGGACTCCATCCAGCCACCTCATTCTCTGTCGTCCCCTTCTTCTCTTGCCCTCCATCTTTCCCAGCATTAGGCTCTTCTCCAGGGAGTCCTTCCTTCTCATTAGGTGGCCACAGTACTTGAGTTTCAACTTCAGGATCTGGCCTTCTAAAGAGCAGTCAGGGTTGATCTCCTCTAGGATGGATCGGTTTTGATCATTTCCTTGCTGTGACAATTCTTCACACGATGCAGAATTCTAGTGCCACTTCTAGATACTGGCAGCTAGCTGCTCTTCAACTCTCAGTGTTTTCACAATAGTCCTTGACTTAAAACCATTTCATTTAGTGACCAAAGTCACAATGAAAGAAGTGATTTAAGACCCGTTTTCACGTGACCGTTGCAGCGTCCCCAGGGTTACATGATCAAAATTCAAATGCTCTTATATGATTTTGTTTTTGAATGATTTGACACCCTGACCACCACGTTGTGTCCTAAGCTTTTGAAAAAAAATGGAAAAAAAACAATAAAACGTTTTATAAAAAAATAAATAAAATTCAAATGGCATGTATTTAGTTGCAGTGTCCCGGGGTCATGGGATCATCTTTTGCGATCTCCTGACAATAGGGAAGCCAGATTCAATTAACAACCTTGTTATTAACTTAACAACTGCAGTGATTCACTTAGCAACTGTGGTTAAAGAAATAGAGTAAAGTTCTCTTAACTGTCTTGCTTAGCAATAGAAATGTCAGGCTCCATTGTTGTGGTAAGTCAAGGACTACCTGTAACTTCTAGGCCTAAGGCTCCTGAGCCCAGACAAGTTCGGTCAGCTCCTACCATTTATGCTCAACCCTTCAGGCACCTACAGTTCAGGAAGCATGCAATAATTTAAACGCAGACAGCACAATCCCATGCAAATAGATGACGGGTGTTTATTCAGCCCAGTTAATCAGATGATTAGCAGCTTCAATGCCCTCTTTTGAACTGGACTTCAGCCAAGCTTTCTTGAAGCAGAAAAGCTTTTAAATGGGACAGTTGAATGTACAGTAGGGTTAATGGTCATTCATTCAGAGCTTCTGAGGCTGGTGGGCATAATCAGGGCTTCTGAGGCTGGTGGGCATAGACTGTAGAGGTTGCCTGGGCTGCAGCTTTCCTTCTGTCTCCCAAGGTCAGTCCTACATACAGTCAGATAAGAGGCAGATCAGCCCACAGAAAGAACAGGGACTTGGTAAACATCTTAGAAGGGGCGGTCCCTAGTTTCTTGGACTGTAAAACCAAGTGGGGTAAAGATGCACCTCTACAGTCTATGAAACTAGGAAGGATGTATTCTGACCCATTCACCTTGCCTCTATTCCTTCTGTGAACTTAGCTGTTGCTTGTCTGACCATTGCTTGGTCTATGGTCTTTCACCTGTCCCCCAAGGTCATTCACACATATCTTTACAAATGCAGCACTGACTTGTCCTTGCTGATAAACTTAAGACAACTATGGAAATTATTCCCCTTACAGAGTCAATCCAGTCTACCTCTTCCTGTGTTGAGAGGATGCTGAAAAAGTGTCATATGTTCAGAAAGCTTTGCGCAATAGAGGACTCTGATGTTTTTTTTCCTATAATTATGGGTGTTGGGCGTTTCCTCCCCCCTTACAGATTTGTTGTGCTTGTGTCTTCAAAGCTGCATTAGGACTGTTTTTGATAAAGTGAGATCT